GGGAAAGAGCTATGACTACCATCCATCAGGCAGTACACATTTATTTGTGTGCATTAAGTGTCAATCAAATCTCAGAGAATCCTTGAAAATAAAAAAAAAGTTTGCACTTATTCCTGGTCATAAACAACCTCACAAAACCTCACTTTTGAAACTATTCCAATTGAAACTACACGCTGAATTTATTAATACAGTATAAGTTTCTTTATGTAAAAAATCTTTATACATAGTAATAAAAAAAGGTCAAGGCAAGATGCATCAAACAGAAATCCGCTGGTTGTTCTTCCTGTTTTTAGAGCTGCTGATGACCACCTGTGCTAGAAAGTTGCTTCTGATTTTCTGTCTCAAGCATCTTTGCCTTTGCTTGTGGTAAGGATTGTTCTGTCCAAGCATCCGGAAGAACAGATGCTGGTGATGATTTTTGGCACTTATGCTGGCAAGCTGAGCTTCTTTCCCTTGAGTACTGGGGGGTAGGGGGAAGAAATAGAAAAATATAGAAGTTAGTAATACACAAAAGATACACATAGGAAACTAGAGTTGTGAATTATCTGATATGTTTTGCTCCTTCAGAAAAATTGCTGTTAAAAGAAAGGGTCTGTAATCAGGTCCTCAACTCTCATCTCTATGCCAATAAAGTTCTCTTCAAGCTGAGAGGAAGAGAGGTTGTTCACCACTGCCCTCTTGCGTGCACAAGGGAACTCTTGTAACATGAATTTTGCCTGGTGAGCATATGTTAACACCAGTAATTCCATTATGACAAGTGTAGCCAACATAGCATTCACAATCCCACAGCCTTATGGTGCTACAATGGGAGGAGGGAGGGAAAGACGACCATGAGAAAGGGGCAGACCAGTTAATAGCTCTGTAGGGCTGCTGACTTCTAGAATTCAGATAAAGTAGCCACTAAATCCTATTTTTTGGTGGAGGTTCTCTCTCTACTCAAAAACAAACATACTTCTTTGGACCAGAACTAGAACTTTTGACAACATGGAAAAGCTGGGCTAACTGTACACCAACTCCAGTCTATGTCAATAAAATTCTCTTTAGGCATACAAGACAGATTATACAAGACAACATGTGTGGCCAGAAAAGGATGGGTACCCTGGCTGTTCCAAGGAAAAGGTGTACTGTGAATATACTGGACCTTATTAGTTTTAAATACACCATTGGCTCCTGACGATTATACTTACCACAGTTCTACTCATACTAGAACTCAGACAATTTACATGACAAACTACCAAAGCAGTATTAATAAGTTTAACATGTCTATACTGATGATCCAAGAGAAAGAGTTAGTTCTCTTATGCCTGACACCCACAGAGTAAGCAGTGTCATCCTAAAGTGAGAATTACTTACCTTTTGTAACATACAAATAGAAGAAGTCACAGTAAAGAATGGTCTGGACCACACCAGCAACAACAGCTATGAGGTCAAAGAAACCCTCAAAATAATAGCGCCAAATCCAATTGATTAAGTACAAGGCACGGTAGAGACCCAAGAAGAAAAGATAGTGAGTAGTGATGGTCTCTGCTTCTCCAGTTTTGCTGATCATGAAAAGCTGGGGGAGGATAGCAACTGATTCGAGATAGATGGAGAAGGTCCACAAAATCTGAAAGGAGAGAGAAACAAGCCTGTTCAGTGTCCCTGTTGATAATCCATCCTCATATACATGAGCAAGGGAGACACTCAGCTTGACTTATCACTTTCTCAAAAGATACCTGCTCTGAAGAGTCTCGCGTTTCCACAGTTCTAGACAAACTTTTCAATCAAGACAAATGGAAAACTGCAAATCAGCTCTAGTTAGCCAGCAGCAGCAGCCTGCTGATGGCCTGGGTCATTCCTGATTACCTGTTCAGTTAGGAATTAGTGGCACTCACTTAAGGCTCTGGTTTGCATCAAGTCAGAAGCTTAACTACCATTAATTTCAACTACTGCAAGATCAGCAGAGGTGCACTGATATATCGGTCCATCTCACATCATCACCAATAAAAGGAAAATTGACGTTATCGGCAGTCAGCTTTTTTTGGCTGATGTGGCTGATAAGGTCACCAATAAATGCTGTATACATGCGTGCAGCCGCAGCATGCACATGGCCAAGAGTGTAGCCCAGCAGCTTGGAGAGCAGCATCCAGCTGATAAGTCTGCGGGGGATGGAAAGAGCAGGGAAGGGGCAGGGGGGGAGCAGATAAAGGCCCGGTGGTGAGGGAAGGAATAGGGCTTGGGCAGGCACTGCCCAGCTGGAGTGGAGTGGAGTGGGGCATGGGATGGAGCCAGTGCTCATCCAGGGCTGTGGGGGTGGGAGGCAGGGGAAGGGAGGGGCAGCTCCCGTCACTGTGCACACTTCCAGGGGAGGCATGGCGGGGTGTGCCCCCAGGATCTATGCATATGGTGGGCTGCCACTATGGGCTGGGGCTGCTCCAGCCTCTTCCTGGCAGCTGCGCTCGGGCTGGGTGGGCAGCAACACTGGGAAGGGGGGCTACAGTGAATTTTGAGGTGGCTCTAACCCCCTTTATAGACCCCCCTCTGAGCGCCGCTGCTGCCTACCCTATCCAGCCTGAGCGCAGCCATCAGGAAGAGCCTGGAGCCACTCTGGTCCCAAGCCCACAGCAGGCAGCCTGCCCTCATCCTGTGCAGATCCAGGGGGCACATGCCCCCCATGCCTACCCTGGGGGTGCATGCAGCGGTGCAAGCCACCCTCAGACAAGCCACAGCTCCGTGCTGCACCCTGCTCTATCCTGGCTAGGCAGTCCCTTCCACTGCCTCACTCCCTCCCCCACCGTGGACGCCTCAGTCTTTATCGGTGCACCCCTAAAGATCAGGCCTAATTACTAAAGAGCAGGAAGAACATCTTCAGTTTACCAATGGTGGTTTCTTATCTACTTTAATTTGGAAAAAAGACATTTTCAACCAATCACATGAATTTTCCAGATAAAAGCAAAATGGAAATAATGCCCCGATTAAAGTTTTACAGTGGGCAATCCTCTCTTTTTTTAAAGCTGTCTAGCATTTTAAATCTTGTTCTGACTTGAGATTTAGGTCAGTTTTGTTTAGTTTATGATTAATTTTTTTTAAAACAAAAAGTTATCAAACTTTCCAATATTTAGCAAGCTTCCTGTTCACCCCATAGAAAATACACACATGAAGGTGTTTGGTAGTACAGGACTGCATTGAAATATGGAGGTTCCTTACATTCACATTCAGTCCTAATAAACTATAGTAAAGTTATTATCTTTCCAATGTGATTAAAAAATTCCTGCATGTACATCAGATGCTAGTAATACAATTCAAAATTTCTGCAATTCCTTTTGATTTCACCAGATGGCACCCAATACTTGCCAACAGCCACAATGGCAAGTTTAAAAAGGCCCAGAAGACATCATGAAGGAAAGGATACTGCCAGGTTAACATTGCAACCACCAGTATGCATTAGGAACATTGTATCCTTCTGTACACTAAAAGAATTAAATGGCATCCGGTTTTAGTGTCCCAACTGATTAACAGACCTTGAACTGCTGTTTTTACACACATTAAAGTTCTCTCTCAGGTCCAGACTGTGTGTGTTAGAAGTATGGGTTGAAGTCTACATCTAACAGATCTACCTATTCCAAAAACAGACTTTTAGAAGTATTTCTTATTCCAAATATGCCCTAAAATTATTTTTTCACAATACAAACATTTCTAGCAAGTTAAAATATATTTTAAATAAAGCTGCATATTTACAGAAAACTAACAAACCATCTTAAGAGCACTGGGGATGGACACCTGCACACTCAACTAACCTCTAGAGGAGAGAAGTCATGATTGACAAGAAATGAGAGTCCACCAACAGGAACCACCAGAAACTCCACTCGGAATGTATCATGGTTTCCATCATAGGTAGCCTTAAATTTCATGTAGATCAGGTACACAGTGGCATACGAGCAACCAATGTAGATGAGCTAAAGGACAAAAACAAAATACATTATTAGGTCATCCTCTCTTCTGTGTACAACCCCCTTCCCCCTGCCCCTTAAAACTGTATCTTTCTGGCCATCTAAAACTCCAAAAGCGCACACAAAGCAAACAGATGATATAGGATTTTAATCCTTTCAGAAGAGCACTAATTCCAAAGCTAATTACACATATACTTTTAAAATCTAAGTAATGATTGTGGTCATTACATTGCCACTTCTGTAGTGCAGGTTGCAAGGCAATTTGTATTGTAACCTTCTATTTTCATGGAAAACATAGCCCTAAAAGTGAAATGTGAATTCATGCCTTGCCTCTGGCCAAAAGTAAAAAGGAAGAATTGACACAAAACCTTACAGGGTACGGAGTGGAGAGAGGACAGGGAATGAGGGTAGGGGGAGAAGTAGTTCCCCCTATAGCAGCCTTCAACTACTTGAAGGGGGTGCTCCAAAGAGGATGGAGCTGGACTGTTCTCAGTCATGGCAGACCATAGAACAAGGAGCAATGGTTTCAAGTTGCAGCAAGGAAAATTTGGGTTAGATATGAGAAAAAAAATGCTCTCATTAGGAGGGTGGTAAAACACTGGAACGGGTCACCCAGAGAAGCTGTGGACTCTCCATCTTTGGAGGTTTTTAAGACCTGGCTAAAGAAAAGCATTGGCTGCGAGGATCCTGCTTTAGCAGGGAGTTAGGCTAGATGACCTCCTGAGGTCCTTTCCAACCCTTCTTTTCTATGATTCTATTGAAGAAAAAGAGATGAAGGAAGGAAGAACCCAAACCCTAGCCAAATATTTAACTTGTATCTATGCATAATCCATTCATACTACGTCCTTTGGGACTTTTTTCAAATATTTTCAACTGTATTTTTCAAATGCATACTGCAGCATAGGATAGCAGACAAACCTAGGTATGGTCTTTATGACATACTCAGTCCTCTAACAAACTATACTTACTCCGTGGTTCCAAACTAAGATTTTAAAAGCTCAAGATATTCGTGCCATACATGTCTCAAAGGGTTTTTTTTTTAAAAACAACAACCAAAACAAATTGGGTACATAGCTAGATGCCCTGATCTGACAAAAACTATTTTTAATTCTGTCAGTGACTTAATCTTAATAATGCTTTGAATCTGTATAGCATTTTATAGGCGTTAGATCTCATACCAGTCTGTGTGAGGGAGATAAATAACCCTATTTTACAGATGAGGAAACTAAGAATCAGAAATATTAAATGACTTACAAAAGTCACAATCTGAATCAGCCCAAAATGAGAACCTAGATTAAAGTCTAATTCAGTAGACTACTACATTACCTCCAAAACTAGTCATTTAATCTGCCCCATTCAACATTTGTAAATATTAAATATTCCAAACCAATTAGTAGTGTTTTCTAGCTCCCTATGATAGAGTTGATCGAAGGTCAGATCACTGTGTGGGGATGTAACTTTGATTACCAGCCAGGTAAGAGCATTTGCTGCAAGACAGCAAAAAACAAAAAACAGAAAACAAAATGTGCAAAGTATTAAAAAGATTAAAAAACCCAAAGGATTACCATACAAATTCTTCAAGGATATTCAAGTGAGCCGAATGGGAAGGGTTATACTCAGATCCTAATCAAATTATGAGCTTATAATACAAAATGTAGTCCTAAAAACCATTCCATGTAAAATTAAGATATTCTGAATTGCTTCATTACAGCATCACAGGTAGCTGGCAACAGTCCTGTGCCTTGCATTTATTTTATTACTATAAACAGAACTTTCCCGTTTTGCTGTATGTTCTAAAAGTCAGTGAAACACAGTCAGAGTAGCTAACATCACTTTTCTACAAGACTTGGTAAAATCCTGGCCCCACTGAAATCAACAGGCATTTTGCCATTGACTTTAAAAAGGTCAGAATTCCATTTAGTTTAGAGAGCTGCAAGATTTCAGCTAGTTGACAAACATATTCATACAGTAATTTATTTTTTTTTGCTTATCACTGGATAGATCCGAGCCACATTCCTAAACATACGCACTGAACACAATGAATTTTGTATTTGTTGAATCTTTTCATGTTTAAGGATACTAGAGAACCCATGACTCAAGGAAATTGCATCTAGTACTGCGGTACACTATTGAAAAGCCAACACTGTCTTGCTCAATGGTTTGGGACTATCAGATGGTCATTATTTTATTAAGCTAGCACTGGATTCAAGGAGAGGGCCAACTCTTTTGTGGAAGAAAAAGTTCACGTGTCTGAGTATAATTGTATAAACATCATGTGTTTAATTCTCCACATTCTTTCTTTTGCTAGCTATAGCAGGAGTTTGCCCTAGAGATCAAACAGAGAACTATGACCCTGAATTATGACCAATAGATAAACAGAACAGAAACAGAAAACTAGCAATAGCCACTCCCTAACTGAGTTCAATATTTAAACAGTTGGACTCAAGCTCTTTAGCACTACCCATGAATAATGTGGCAACAGGGTGAACAGCTTGTTTCAAGAATACTTCACTCAATCCATGGTTTTTCACATTATATTAAATCAGTGAATTAAGTTTTATATTAATCACACATACGTTTGATTGCTCCAGGCAGGCTTATATGACCCAAACTATTGTTACAACATTGCTCTTCTGTTATTAGTTGTTTCTGAACTTCTAGTAACTATTACCAAGAATAGAGTTACGTGACTTTTTGACCCTAACGCTGCAACACTCCTGGAAGAGGAAAATGGACTTGAGACATTTAAATTCATTGTACTTTGGTGCTGCAAATTCTCTAAGTATTTTTCTTCCATACCCTGCTGCTGTGTCAAACTCAATGTAGAAAAGAAGCCATGTCAAAAAAGAAAGCGGAAATAAAAAAAAGAAAAAGAAAAACAGAACCAATAACATTAAAGGCACAGTCAATAAAAGAGACATGGAAGTTGAGGAAATATATTTAGCAGTGCTTTGATTTCTGGGGCCAGTTCCTGAGAACTTCTTGGGCAGACTTGGATGGGTCATTCATTTTTAGACTTGGATAAAGGCTTTTCCTGTTTTGTAATAACTGATGTTCTTAAGTTATTATGAACTAAGGGCACCTATACACGTGATGGAGCTCTGCTCTAACACGTGCTAATTAGCATGCGTCGGAGCAGACTTGATCGAGTCTGCTGCAAGTCTGCTGAAGCATGCCGATTAGTTGGAATAAGCTTTAGTTAAAGCACCCCCACCGCCATTTTGAAGCACAGGACACCAAATACATGTGACCCTGCTGGCACTTTACTTGGAGTGGCTCTCAGAGCTGCTCTAATTAAAGCACTCCATTCCACCCCAGAGTATGTGTATAGATGCCCTAAATGTCCTATATTTACACCCTACATGCAACACTTGATCTTAGCCCACAAGAGGCTGACAAGTAATACAGTTTATTACATAGCTTTTAAACAAATCACTTATTTCAGCTTTCTTTTTAAATACTGTACTTGTGGCAGCATTTACTTTGGATGTAAAATCTCCTTTTACATGCAGCTTTTAGAGATCTGTGGTAGTGAAAGTATACTTCTACTTCAGTGAAGACTTCCACATGCCTTATCTGAAGTGCTCTAGTCCTTTACTCAAGTGGATAATATGCTGGACCACCATCCACCCCAGAAAAGCTTTTGTTAATGAAATTATGAACTGTGCGTGCAACAAAAATGACTAGCTTTTCTCACTTATTCAGTATACTCTACCTTCATAGATGTGTTATACAATGAAATGAATGAAGTGAAGAGATCCAGATAACGGGTGGTGAAGACCAGTGCAAAGAGAAGCTGGCTTTTCCCAGAAATACCTAAAGCAATAAAGGAAATAATTATTATACAAAAAATTAAAAAAAAAAAAAAGAAAGAGAAAAGATGATGTTCTTCAAAGCATTTGGGGACAAGGGTGAGAGTAAATCCTTATTTCCAGCTGGGTTGACTACACAATTAGGACAAAGACTGGAGCTCCCAGAACTAAGTACAAGCGTCACAAGTTTGCCCATCTTAGTGATATCAAAACTAAGATGCAAAAGGCACCACTGAACTATGCAATGAATAAGTGCTCATATTATGTAAGGTTTGGATAAAAGTTATTAGAAGTCATTCACTGACAGACAGTTCACAGGTCATGGTTTTGAAGATCATGGCATCTCTTCTGTATCATCACTATTAGTCTCTGCAAAGTAAGGCTCAATTACATTAGCAGACATTAGCTTTGTATTGTACTGAAGCATGTGACAACTTTGTCACATTATCTATTGCTGAATAGCTCAAAAGGTGTGAAGACAGAATTTGTGAACAGCATATACTGCTATTCCAGTGATAAGAGGAAAGATCATTAACAACAAATGCTTAGTGATTCGAAAGCTATTAAAGATACTGTAATGCTGTGCATTGCAATCATAAAATTAATTTGCCCACCCATAACAAAACAAATAAATCCTATGCAACAGTCAAAGCATGCTTATTAACACAGAGGGTAAGATTTAAAAGGCCTCAGTGACATAGAGCCTGAATCCACTTTTCAAAAGTAACTTGGAAAATTAGACTTTGGGGACTAAGGTTCTGACCCTGCAAAGACTTGTGTGCACACTTAACTTTGACATCAATAGGACTACACTCAGTGCCTGAAGTTAAGATAACTTTTGCCTTGACCTTGCAAAAAGCTTAAAATCACTCAG